CCCCGGTGTTTGAGCACCAGCTGGGAAGAGGGAGGGGTGCTGCTTTCTTTACTATTGCTTTACTCTTTCTCTCTAGGGAAAAAGCCCAGGCCAGATTCAGAATTACCAATCAGTTGGTAAGAGATACTAGTTGTTTGCATTTCAACTACACAAATCTCTTTTTGGCCCCTCTGGGGGGCTATTTGCTTCCAGAAATTACTTTTCTAAATATATCTGTGAAGTAGGATCTCCCCCCAAATGTATGGACCAATTGTCTGCAATGAGGTTCAGGATTTCAACATCCTGTCTATATGTGGCAAGCTGAATTTAGAACTAGGATATAGATTTAATTGTAATAATTGACTCTAACTCTTGTCACAATCTGACATTAATATCTTCTGCAATTGTTCTCTCTTACCATTTTGCCTGCATCCTGGGTGTTTATTGAGCTTGTGGGAGCCATATATTGCTTTTGCTTTGAAGCTGTTTTTATTACCCCCTGATTATCTCATAACTATATAGGCAGCCTATCGTGAAGAGGAAGGTCATTACCAAAGGAATCATGGAGAAGAGGGAGCAGATGAAACAAACTATATGCTGCAGGAAAGATCTGGAGAGTTTGAGACTCATTTCTTTCTTGTGTAAATTATGTTCTGAATCTGATTATCAACTGTTGTTGCGATAGCTAGTCTTAAAGTTTAAAGAAATAGATTAAGATTTAAGGAAGGTGCTCAAATGAGTATCTGCAACTCAGGAATTATTTACTTTAGATATACATGAGGATTATTGGAAATTGCTTAATGGTTACATTTTTAGTGTCATGAATCAGAGAAATCAGTGTAGTTACGTAATGACCCCTCTTTCCATTCCTAAAAGAAAAAGAGTTTGATGATGATATCCAGCTCATAATCCTGTTACCTTAAAGTAAGATTTTACAAGGAGACATGCATACAGGAGTCTGAGGAGGGGGGAAGTATTGTGTGGAAATTGCCTAATTGTCTTCTAGGTGGAAGAGAGTGACATATTGCTTAGCAGGAAGTTGGTACTACTACATTTCTACATGCTTTTTGTCATAGAAAAAATGTCCAGATACTTGTATTCTGATATAGAGCATGCACAAGACTATTCATTTTTAATCCCTGCTTATCAGTGTGCCCATCACTTAACTGGCATTGGCTGATCTGGGAAATTAAGTGATGGCCTAGTAAGTATTTAGATGGGAGACCATCTGGGAAGTCCAAGGGAAAACAATATCCCTGAAGAAGACAGTTTAAATTACTTTCATATCATGCCAAGAAAACTGTAATAATGTCTCTGTGTATATTGCCAAGAGTTAAGCATGACTCCAAGGCAACTTTAATTTTTTTTCTTCCTTATCAAATCAAAGAAAATGTGCTATCTCTGATATCCAGCAAATCAGAAATAATTTTGTGGTGAAAACCACCTTCCTAAGGAGCTTTGATGACATGATAAAGACTCAGTCTAGTTTTCACTAGTTATTCCATGATATAAATGAGATTACATGGGAGATGCTATTTTAGTGAAACAAAAGCTAAATTCCATTTACTTAGATATCTCAGCATGAAGTAAATTTATCAGGTGTTTCTCACAGTCTACCAGTACTATAAAAACTGCATCTCTGCTTAAGAGAGTGGGGCTTCAGGCATTAGGGTTTGTTCATTACATTTATATCCTGCTATAATCTAGGAGCTCAAAATGTTAGGCACAGAGATCTTCCTTCATTTTATCATCCTTTTGTCTCAAACTGGGCTGAGGGAGAGTGACTGGATGGAGCTGAAGGACTTTCAGGGATAAGGGAGTAAGTTCTAAAGTAAAAGCTAGAGCAAGCATAAGATTGTCTCCTAACCTAAGCAGATAGGTTACGTTTCATGAAACATTTATGTTTGCTAAATTGTATAAACCATTCCTTATAAAAAATCAACTTCCATCCTCTTTGTTTCCACACAAACTCTTTTATCTCCTGCTTATTCAAAGCAAATATGTCCCACAGAAATACACAGAATTAAAGTTCCCAAAACTATTTTCTTTTTCATCTGTGGTGGTGACTTTTTCAAAGACAACCCCCTACCTTTGAAGTGCTCTCACTAGAAAGAATCATTTGATTATGATCTTTTATCTTCCAATGATTCAAGATGGCCTAAGCATTTCTGTGCTGTGGAGTTTTCAGTGATTTTATCGTCCACAAGTTTATGTTCTGTTTCACACCCTGAATATAATAAATTGCTAAGTGTAGTATACGAATACCTGGAAAACGCTAGCCTAAGTGTCCCTTGTTTTACTAGCACAAAACAAATCCTTGTAGTAGGGGAGGTGTTGTGTATAATCTTGTCCAATCTTGTAATGCCCTCATCTTTTATCTTTTCCCAGGCAAGCATGGGATCTTGCTGTGGATATATGCCTTTCTCAGCTGCCTACCATTATAGAGGAAGGAACTGCATTTAGGGTAAGTTGCTGAACTATTAAACTCATGTCTGGGCTACTCAAACTTAGCTGTCCACCCATAGATGACCTCAACTTCCAGAATTCCTTAACCATTGTGTCCATTGCTGAGAATTCTGGGATCCTGGATACTGCCTAGAATGGGAAGTATAATCCAGTAATTCCAACATTCTCATATTCTTTACCAAGCAAGTATATACACTTTCCATTATATGACACCTATGGATCATTAACTCATTAGAAGAAAGATGCATGCAATGTAGCCCATTCACATTGCTACATCCTTTGTTTCGCTTTTTAAGAATGAAAAAAGTCTCTCTTAGTGTTGGAAGTTCTGACTGGATACCTTTAGATATGTTTTATAAAAAAATTCCCCTCTCACCCCTATGGGTGGTATGTGTCTTCCTCAATCTCAGGTCCT